ACCGAAAAAAATGTGGTAAATAAAAAGAGTTTGAAGCGAAGGCAGAAAGGGGGCGAGGAAAACGGGACTGATCGGTTGGGTGCCATGCCGAGAAGACGGGCCGAACAGGGAAGAAGACGACAAGGAGGAGTTGTATGGCCGCCTAACAAGGACACAGGAATAGCAAAGCGCCGCCCGCTTTAAAAAGCTCAGGAATAGAGAATATTCTTGTTTCTTAACCCTTATGTAAAACTAAACTGTAATCTCAACCCGAACCCTACCCTAAAGCTAAACCTTATAGTTAACGCGAACACAAAACACAATCCTTAACATAATCCTAGCCGGGAGAGGTCTATTTGGTATCTGACGTTTGGGGTAGTTGTTTCGTATACCCATCTTCAAAGAGTGGATACTCTGGCTCCTGGTTCTCGCTATATGCCACTCTTTTCTTCCGCATGCGTAGTATAACAATCCCGACCGAGGCGCTCTATGTGTCTCGCATCTCGCCTTCGACGTCCTCATTGAACGGAATCGAATGCCAACAAAAACGCGGACCGAAGAGTATTGACCACCTAAGTCCTGGCGTAGCATCCCATACATGGAAGGGGTCCACATAACTGTGGCTAGATCCCTCGCGCCTCTGGGAATAAGATTTGCCCAAAGGCCCCTACCTACAATCTGGCAACAAGTTGTGCGGCCGAAAGACCCTATATTGAAGGAGGAGAAATCAGAAGTGGTCTACCGACTTCAGTTCAGTTGCGGGACGTACAACGACGTGGGAGGAACCAGCCGGCAGCTAAAAAAGCGAATGCATGAACATCAACTGGATGTAAGAAGGCTGGACCCAAAGTCGGAAGTAGCAAGCCATGCTGCAAAGATGGGACACGTCTTCAACCCTGACGCCGTTGAACTGTAGGCCGAGATGAAGATCATAGATCAAGGCAAATCAAAGAAGCCTGGATGTCGACTAACCTGTCGGTAAGCCGCCACATAATTTTGACTCCCCCCCTCTACACTGTAATAAGAATATTCTTGGCAGAGAACAGTCACGGCATGGAACAATCGCGACTACCATCCACCTCTACGGCAAGCGCGCATGCCCA